GTGAGCGTTGCAGAAGTCAGCCGAGCGCCACGGCAGGAGGTGAAGGGAGGCGAGGTGGTGACATACATGGCCAGGCTCCACCCCCTGGGCATGTACGTCACCGCCCCGCTCCCTTTCCCCTTCTGCCGTGGCGCTCGGCTGACTTCTGCGCTGCTTAGCCGGGCCACCGCGGGGGAGCAAGCGGCGCAAGCAGCCATTTGAGCCCCACACTCCCCATGCAGTATGGGACGACCAGAGGGAACAGCCAGCATTTCAGGCAACAGCGCCCCCCAGAGGGAACAGCCAGCATTTCGGCGTTAGACTCTCAGACACTGGGCTACTATATATATGATTTGCAAGAAAAAGGGCCGGATACAGTGTTTGTCCCATTTGTTTTTTTTAATGCTTGTAATTGAACTCTCATTGCATATTTCTTTTTTTTAGATCTCACTCAGTTCCTTCTAAATTTCAACTGAATCAGCAATAAAACAGCTATTTTCCTGCATTTTGTTTAAGGCTACAGAAATAGGCTTCAGGGTACTCAGTATGTGTTAAATATTTCTCTTAAGCCCAATGTTCAGAACTTAGGCTCTGACTGCCATCTGTTTTGTCACAATTTTGTTTACAAACTCAATTTTGTTCTCATCTTGAATACATTTGCAGTATTGTCTGTGACTATGCTGCATTCTAGACATTTGATTTTTTTCCCCACAATTCGTTATAACTTTTACTGCTACTTCTTGTAAGTATTTTCCTGTATGCGTATTTTTTGATGTATCAGTTGTTTCTGTATAGAAGACAGTCCCTTCTTTTGTCACGCAAGCATGTACAACAGGATCCTTGTGGACATTGCCCCACCCATCAAGATTCAAGTTAACAATTTTGCCCTCTAGACTTAGCACATTGCTTGGTTGCTGGATAAAGTGTATGGAAGAGAAATTTGCTTGTGATAGCTGCTGTGTTGAGTGGACTGTATCCTGGTCTTAATGACTGAACCATGTTAATGAAGAGTGGGTTCTCAATCATGCACAAAAGAGAGTTTGTTGAATAAACAAACGGGGCAATTTTTTTCATCAATTACCTCTGTTTGGCTAAGTGGAAATGGTTTTTGGTTTAGTCATTGACTAAAGGAATGTACCTAGTTCTAGCACATATTCAAGATATTTTGGATAACCTGTTCTGAATCTTCTCCGCTCATCAAGGATCCACTGAGTCATGATTTCAGCATTTGATGGACCTATTATCCAAGAATTTATCTAGTTTCTTGAACCCTGTTGTAGCTTTGGCCTTCACAATGTCCCCTTGCAAAGAGTTCTATAGGTTGTGTGTGTGATATGAAGAAGTACAGGTTGTATCTCCCTTAACTGGGCCTCTCTGGTTTGGCAACCGGATCATGGATGTTCTTGGACCACAGAGTCTAGGTATAGAGAGGTCTGGCCATGGGGCAGAAATGTGATGGGGAGGCCAGCGACTCAGCTGGGAGCCCCATGTTGGTGGGGGCAGATGGCACAGCAGGGAGTTCTGGCCCCAGCGGGGGCCTAATGGCGGCCGCAGAGACCTGACTGTGGCTGTGGGGATCTGGCTGCGGCTCCCCTGGTCCAGCAAATGCCCTCATTTGGGACAGGTCAGGACCCGAAGGTGCCAGATCAGGGAGGTCCAACCTGTACTTCCTTGAGCTTGTTTTAAACCTGCTGCCTATTAATTTCATTAGGTGACCTCTAGTTCTTGTGTTATATGAGAGAGTATATAACATGTCTTTATTCATTTTCTCCACACCAATCAAGGTTTTATAGACCTTTATCATATTACCCTTTAGTCACCTCTTCCAAACTAAAAAAAATCCAAGTCTTTAAATCTCTCTACATATGGAAGCTGTTTTATATTACAACTCATTTTTTGTTGTTGCTGTTCTCTGTACCTCTTTCTATTCTGATGTACCTTTTTTGATATAGGGGACCAGATTGCAGACAGTATTCAAGATGTGAGTGTACCAGGTATTATATAGAAGCATTGTCATATTATTTATTCCTTACTAATGGTTTCTAGTATTCTGTTAGCTTTTTTTCACTGTTGCTTCATGTTGAATGGATGTTTTCAGTTTGGTGACTCAGTTAGCTGACCTGGAAAGTGGGGCCCTGAAACAAGGGCAGAAAGCATCTGCGATTGAGTGCTGCTGGGTTCAGTATTTTTTGTTACATCATCTGGCAACCCTACTGACCCAGAGGAGGAAGTGCCCTCTAAGACACCTTGGTGAGCCAGTCCAGCCACGCCCACAGGAAGTCAGAGGGTGGGACTAGTGGTATAAGAGCAGAGAGCTCAGTCAGAGCCAAGCAGCCGTCCAGGCCAGACGCTCACCTCCCGCTCCCACCTCTAAGGGCTCGGCTGCGCCAATCCCAGTCAGAAGACTGGGTTGGGCCACCCTTGCCCCTGCCGACTCCTGAGCCCTGGCCTGGGCTGCCAAGGCCTGGGCTGCCAAGGCCCTGGCTACTGCTGCCCGAGGACATGCTAAGCCTGCCAGGACCCTTGCTGGGCCCCTATGCCTGTGCTGGCCCACCTGGACACCTGCTGGAGCCCAAACGCATGGAGCCCTTCCAGCGCCTCCATTCCCTGCCGACCCACCAGAGCAGCACCAGAGCCGGGTAAGCCCCTGGGGAACTTCGGAAGTGGCCCAGGGACAGCTGACTCTGGGATGACTGAGGAGATGGAGGTCGGGTGGGCAGTGTGTCGTGGCCTGGAACCCAGCTGGCCCCTTGACCGAGTTGGCGTGTAATGGCCCGGATCCCCACCGACTTGGTGGCTGTGGCCATGGGGCGGCCACTATTAGGGCCCTGGGCAGCGACAAGGTGGAGTAGGGAGGGCCCGTGTCCCCCCCGCTGCCACCCTTGCCCTTGGGTGGCAGGTTCTCTTGGTGGGGGCAAAACCCCTGCACTTCTTGGCTCTCCAGAAGTGAGGAGATACTACCCCTGCCCGGCCGGGACTTGGCCGGACTGCATTCTACTACACCACCGGTGGTAGCTATTTGTCGCCCTGATCCAGGGCTGCTCCTTAGACTTTGCACTCTTGGGGTGGGTGGGTGTGTGTGTGTGTGTGTGTGTGTGTGTGTGTGTGTGTGTGAACCCCTTATCTGTTTGCCCAGCCCTCACCCAGGGCTAGGCCCTACAAATGGTCTCTTGGTCGAGGTGTGCCGCACGAACTAGTGGGCACCCGAGGGAGTCAGTGGGGCCGCTCGCTGATGGTGGACACTGTACATGGACCGTGGACAGTAGATAAATGAAATAATCTTTAGGCCAGAGTCAGAGCAAACATATTGACTCTGTAGTTGCATAGACTTTTAAAATTATTTATTCAGAGTGGAACAGTGTCAACAGGAGAAGTTGTGAGGGAGTCCCACATCAGAATATCCCATAGTGGCTGGGGAATTCACCTGAGAGGTAGCAGATTCCTATACAAATCCCTTCTTCCTCTCAGATGCAGTAGGAGCTTAAATACGAGGTCTCAAAGAGTTTCCCTAACCACTGGGCTAGACGTTGTGAAGAAGATACTCACCTTTCTTCCTGGCTTTTTAGAATTTACATATAGAGGGGCTGATCCAGAAATCAAGGTCTGAGCATGTTTACTGGATTGGGCCCCACAAAAAATTTAGGCAGAGGAATGCCTGTTTCTCCTTGATTGGTCAATCATTTTGATGTTTAGACGTCTGAATGTTAGTAGGGGGCTACAGTGCACATGCCCAGAGCCAAAAACTAATGTGCCCAGGGAACTTTTACTACAAAAATATTGAAATCCAGCAAGTTTAGGCTCCTATAGTATTTAGTGGCAGCTGAGCAGGGGATTTGTGTATCCCGGTGGCCTGGTGATTTAGATGTCTAAAGTAGCAGTTAAGCACCCAAGGCCTTTTGTGAATCCAGCTCAAAGTGCATAAAGAGAATTGTACTGTAATTTTATTACCATTCTAAGGAGGGAAACTTGATGACGATATTATTTCATAATGTTTCTCTAAACATAAGTGTTAAATTCATTTTTGTAATGGTTCATATTGTATGTCTGGTACTTGTAATGAGCTGTAAAATTGCTCTGTTTTCCTAAATAACTGTTTTTAAAAGAAACTAAAAACTGCCAGTATTTTGATGTATGCTTATATTCAGCTTTCTCTGACTTTATTGTTCAGTGTGTTCTGCAAGAATGCCTTTTTATACATTATTCAGTATATTGGAAAAGCACTTCATAGTACACTTGAGTGTCTTTACAGTCATGCTTTTTTGATTCTCATCTTCAGTCATGTCAGGGCAAAAATGTTGTCTCTGCAATTCCACAGCCTAGAATGAATCTTTTCCTGGGCAACTCCTTTGCTAATTTCCAGGTTTACTAATTTTAATACCATGAAAGAAGGGATTTATATTGAAAGTGCTGTACATCTTTAAATAGAAGTGGAAGCTGTATGGTTAAAATTTCTGATGAAACTCTGTCTGACTTACAGTAAATTGATAAGTAACCATTGCACACTGGCAGAATTGTGTTGACAGATTATTGATAAAACAAATATTTGAACAGATATATACATGTCTGTATTGCTTGACTGTTCACACACTAAAAATCTCATCTGTACAGCTCATCCTGAAAATTAGATAAGTTTGTTAATTTTGCATCTGTTTTAAGGACTGAAACTCACTGAGGTTATATAAACTGACTAATAAACCACCTTCAATCTTTACAGATGCTACTTTCATCTACAGTGCCAATTAAAATTATTTTATGCCATGAATATGTACAGTATTAGACTTGGGTGGACTAACTTTTTGGTCTGAGAGCTACATTGGGGTTCTGAAATTTTATGGAAGGTCACTTACAGGTGCTTGCTGTATTTCAGAATAAAACACTGAATTAAAATTATTACTAACTTTTTGTTTTTTTTTAAGCAGTTAATTTCACTGACTGCTAGATGAGAGGAAACAGTAATTTCCCTAGAAGCTCATCATGCAACTGTTTCTACTTCTTACTGTCATGAAGAATGTAAGTTGCTTTTCAGATTTATTGATTAGTGTTAATCTCTGACAGGTGGAAATTAAAATGGAATGAGTTTTAGTTCAAGTGATTTCATATATCATCCATATATATAAAGTTGGTAAGTGAATGCCCAGTACAGTCAAGACAGAGAGATTTTAATCAGGAGTACTTGTTGGGGCAGCATTTGCACTCTGAATGCCATTGTGCTCCATATTGAGGGCAAAAAGGGTCAGGCCACCACAACTAACCTTAGTTGCTTCTCGCCACCCATGGCTATGAATCAGAGCTCTCCTCTTTTAGCATGCTTGCCTTCTCTAATCCTTATAAATACATTTTAAATAGTCAATTATTTAGTTAGCTGTAGTTAAAGTTCAGTTTAGTATTTCTTATGTAATATTTTTCACTGTTGGGATCTATGATGGGGCATATCAACCCTGCACTGGTGCAGCAACAGTTAACCCTGTTCACTTGCTGAGGAGGCCTTGCCGCCTCTGCTCTGCTGGGCATGGTCCAGCTGGGGGCCTGCAGAACAGCTTAGTCTGGGCTTACTGACAGCTAGAGTTGAGGGTCATCTACAATATCTGTGAATTCCCCCCCAAAGAAATAAAAAGTTTGTCTATTCAAATAGTGATAGACATTACCACTACCATGTTTTATTTAAGCAGACAAGGAGGGGAGAGGTCTTTGGAGGCAAACCATGACAATTTGGTACCCAACCCTATTGCCCCCAGTTCCTTACAATGTTGAATCCTGGTTCTAATGGGCCCCCTTGGGTTTTACTCTATTTGGCACTGATGCGAGTGCTGTTGGATTACTATGGTGTCCACTTTTCAAGAAGGATATCAATAATTTGGAGATGTTTACAGGGAAGAGCCATGAGAATGTCTAGATGATTGGAAAACATGCTTTATAATGATGTATTCTAGGAGCTCAGTCAATTCATTTCAACAAGGAGAAGGTTGAGGAGGGAAAATCTGTAAATAAGTGCATAAGTACCAAAATGTGATAATGGAGACTACAGTCTAGTAGAAAGAGAGACAATAAGATCCAGTGGCTGGAAATTGAATTTAAGCTAAATTAGGTCTGCAAATAGGTGGTCATTTTTTTAACAGTGAGGGTAATTAACCATTGGAATAGTTTAGAAGGGCTGTGGTGGGTTCACGATCACTTGTAACTTTTAAACCAAGATTGGGTGTTTTTCTAAAAGAGATGCTCTACTTTAAATGGTAATTCATTCAGGAAAATTGGTCTCTGTTATGCAGGTGGTCAAATTAAATTGTCAGAATGGTCTCTTCTGGCTTTTTAACGTATACTCTCTCAAACTATATTTGGCAAAAAGAACAAGAAAGGACACTCAATACATTTGTACTGAGGAACTGTTACTTGTACAAAATTTTCTGTCACCCCCACACTCTAGGGCACACATTTTTATCCAATTCCTGAGCTCAAGGTTGTAATCCTATTAATTTAAATATTCATCTCTACCCAATTCCTAGGGCTCAGGGTGAAACTTCCTGCAGGTTTTCAGGATATTTTACCAATGAAAGAGCCTTACACAGTAATATCCTTACTCTCTATTTATTAACAATTACCAAACAAGCCGAATACACATGCTTAGTATATAGTGCCATGCTCACCATTCTGGATTCGGGCAGGTGAACTATCCCTGTTGACCAGGCAAGGTCAGTCTTGTCTCGATTCTGGTTGCTGCCATCAGGTCATGCAGAGGATTCTTGGCAGCTCTGATCTTAGGCTGTGTTTTGGAGGGGAGTTCTTTTTCCAGGTCCGTCTGTCTTTCTGTTCCTTCTTTTTCTTTCTTGCTTTCTTGCTGGTCTCCTTGGATCCCACTATATATAGTGAAACTTTTTTTTATTGATATTAAAAATCTTTATTTAACTACTTGAATAATTTACAACTGATCAGAATGAAAAAGTATTTATTTGTACACAACAGATGTATATGCAAACCGAAGTTATCAAAGTACTAAGATGAACCACGTCATAAAAACTACATCTTGAGTTCACATCACTGGGCATCAAACACAACCAATCTTTTTGTTCTTTTTTTGTACATTATTCTGTACCCACATTCTTGATACCTTATAGGCTCTCTTGCTTTTATTTCATTTTTTGTGTCCTGCTGAGATATATACCACAACCAATTATTTTACTAAAATTTTACTAACCAATTGTAACACACTTAAGTTACAGAATTACCTAACCAATCATAACCCTGCTACCTTAGTTGATTTAAACCTAGCAAAATCAATTATATTGCCCATAGAAACAATTAAAAACAAGACAGAGATCATACAGAAGGAATTTGCCAGAGGAAATACTGTCAAACTAAGTTTTCTTTAATTATCTTGAGATCTGTTTCTTTATCTGGTAATAGTTGGTGTCATTAGGATGGAATCTCTTTCTAAACAGCCTGTTATGACACTATTGTATTGCAGTTTAGATGGAATGTGAGTATGTGACTCCCTGCTTTACAGCTAACAACTGCTGTTCTTTCAATCTGGCTGCAGATAAACACCCTATGCCAGGGGTGGCCAACTTGAGCCTGAGAAGGAGCCACAGTTTACCAATGTACATTGCCAAAGAGCTACAGTAATTTGTGAACAGTCCCCGTCAGGTGTGTCCTCTCCCATCTACAGCATCTTTTGCCCACCAGCAGCCCCACCAATCAGCGCCTCCTCTTCCTTCCCTGCACCTCCTGCCCACTGCAATCAGCTGTTTCATGGTACTCAGTAGGCTCTGTGGGGGAGGGAAGGAGCAAGGAAATGAGCACAGGAAATTTGGCACCTGTAGCTGCCGCCCCGGAGTCAGTGCCTGAGCAAGGAGCTTCAGAAGAGCCACAAGCTGGCCACCCCCGTCCTATGCTTTAGGATAGTGATCACCAACCTTTTTCAGTCCAAGATCACTTTTTAAATTTACGTGCAACCCAAGATACGCCCTAAGATAATGTTGTAGATAAACATTCTGTTTTTTAATTTATGCTATGTAAATCTTAAATGAAGTATTTATACATTTTGTCCTCTCTTCACAGTCCGCCACGTGGCCCAGCTGGCCATGGTGTTCATACTACCGAGGCTGATGCAGCAGGGACAGCCTCACTGCACCATGCTCCAGCTGGGCTGGAGCAAAAAGGGGCAATAGAAACTTGACTCCAGACCATCTACTTTGATAGGTTTCAAAATTAACCATCTCTCCTGCAATCAGAGAAGCATTGCCCTGAATGATTAATTGATTTTTCTCCACTAAGCTGATAATTAAATTGATGGAAAAAGAACGCCGCAGTCATAACTGCCAGTTTCAGGGCCTGATCCAAAGCAAGGTCACCGTAGTCTCCAGTGAACTGGATCACAGTCGTAGTACAAATACAGATACACAACTAACGGGGCATTGCTCTTTTTTTCAAAGACATTTTCTGTGCACATACAATGGGGCTCATGGCTTTGGACATTTTCCTGTTTTACTGAGTTACCATCTGCTAATCCTGAAGTTTTTGTTAATTCATTATTCCCCCCCTCATTAACTAACTAAATGGCTGATGGAAGGGAGAAAAGCTGCGTGGCTGCCCCTCTTTGTTTCAGCCCATGTAGAGAGTGGTGCAGCCTCAGTGGGTTGACTGCCACGGCCAGTTGGTTGTGCGACTGCCCCTCTTTGCCCCAGCCAAGCTGGAGTGTGGTGCAGCCTCGATGGGTGAACATTATGGCCAGGTGGCTGCCCCTCTTTGCTCCAGCTAGGCTGTACCGTGCTCCAACTGGGCTGGAGAAAAGAGGGGCATCCACCCAACCAGCTGGCCTTGGAGCTCAGCCTGTGGAGGCTGCGCCGCGCTTTAGCTGGGCTGGACCAAAGAGGGGCCAGCCCTATGGCCAGCTGGCCATGGTGTTCAGCCTGCTGAGGCTGCACTGCGCTCCAGCTGAATTAATTGGTCATGGACTCTGTCCATCACAGGTCCAGACAGCCTCAGTACAAGGTCACTCCTCAGGAATAGGAGCACAAGTGATTGTATCTCTTTGGCAGGAAACTCTATTTTTCTGCCACTCTCCAGTTCCGAGTATCAAATTACACCGCTCTCCAGGCTAACTATGACCATGACAACTACACTAGACTACAGGAGCTGTTCCATGACCTCCCCAAGCAAAAAAGGCCCCATCTCCAATTCATAATGAAGGAAAATAACACAAACAGCCCTTCAGGTATCTAGGGACATGGCCAACACAGCAGCCAGGGCTACAGCGACTGCTATAGTCACGTGCAGGGCTTCGGGAGTCACCGAGAGAATTACAGACTAAGGTAGAAGAACTCCCCTTTAACAGGAACCAACTCTTTGAGGCCAAGATGGACGAAGTCCTACATTCAGCGAAGGACTCTCACACCACGCTGAGAACCTTAGGCATGTGCGCTCCACCTAATAGAAAACCCAGGTATATTTCATACCAGAGACAGTAGCAGAGGCCATATAACAACCGCCCCAAACAGTGCTCCAACAGAAGGAGGGCACAACACAATCAGTCATCTGACACCAATGTATTATGGCCAAATAGCAAATTTGAAGATGTGGTTCAGGGTCTGAGCAACCATCTCACCAATCCAGTGCATAACACTCCTGTTTTGCATCACCGTTTGAGGCTCTTTTGTCACCAGTAGGGTTTCATCACTACGGACAAATGGGTCCTTGAGATCATCAGTATTGGCTACACAATTCCCTTCATTTCTATATCCCCTAATTATCCCCTTCCCCTTTCAGGGACCCCTCTCACCAGCCCCTTCTACAAGTGGAGGTACAAAAACTACTCAGCTTACGGACAGTAGAGCTGGTCCTCCAGTGTTTCAAGGAAGAGGGGTTTATTTCGACTGCTTCCTAACAACCAAGAAAACAGATGGCTGGAGGCCCATTTTAGATTTCAGGAAGCTCAACAACTTTTTACACAACAAGTAATTCAGAATTTTGACTCTTGCAACTATTATACCTGCACTAGACGAGGGAGACTGGTTCTCAGCCCTTGACCTTCAGGATACATATTTTCATATAATGATATACCCTGCACATAGGAGGTTTCTCAGATTTGCGGTGGGCGAAGACCACTATCAATATCGAGTCCTCCCCTTCAGACATTGCACGGCTTGTGGGTATTTTACAAAACTCTGGCTGTGGTCATGGTGTTCCTCAGGAGGCAGGGCATCATTATATTCCCCTACCTTGACAACTGCTTGCTCAAAGGCTCTTCATGTCAGCAAACACTAATCATGACAAGTACCACCAAGAACTGCTTCTCTCACCTGGATCTACTTATAAATATGCAGAAATCTACTTTAGAGCCAACTCCGAAGATAGTTTTTTGGGGCATTCATGGACACCATGTTGGACAGAGCCTATCTTCTAATACAGCAGTTTCTGACGCTATGTGACCTTATCAAGGAAGTCATACATACTTCCTTCATGACCATATGCATGTGTCTCCAGATTCTGGGCACGTGGTGGCTACTCCCTTTGTTGTCTTTGTCGCCATACTACATATGCGTTGCCTACAGACTTGGTTCACAACCGTTTACATTCCCAAACACCACAGCCTTGCAAGATGTTTTACACTTCCACGACTAGTCCTCCGATCTCTTGAATGGTGGACCTTCCCATACAATCTCCTCGAGGGCGTACCTTTTCATTGCTCCAATGCATTGCTACTGGATTGGGGCACCCATTGCAACATGCAGACAGTCCAGGACAGATGGTCTGAATCTGAGATGCGGCTTCACGTCAATATCTTGGAACTCAGGGCCATCTGCAAAATGTGTACACACTTCCTTCCTTTCGTCCAGGGCAAAACTATACATGTCCTCATGGACAATACACCCTCTATGTTTTACATCAGCTGGCAGGGTAGCTTTACTATGTGCAGATTCTGGAACTGGTGCCCAAAGCATGACACACTTCCAACTGCAACGTACATATCAGGTCAACAGAACATCACGATGAACACATTCAACAGGCACTTCTTGGAACAGCACGAGTGGGAACTCAGTCTCAACTTCATCCTCCCAATCTTGCGATAGTTGGGGTTCCTGATCATAGACTTAGCTGTGACACCAGTCAACTGCAAATGCGACTGTGTCTGCTCTTGAGCAGATCAGGGCAAGAGATCAAAGGGAGATGCCTTTACCATATCCTGGACCTCTCCCCTGCTTGTCTGCTTTTGTCAAATCCTGGCTTCAGCAAATGCAAGTTGTTATGGGATATTTAACATAAGTGATTGAGATTACGGAGTATGCCAGTTTAGGCTATATCACCATTGCAATCCTTGTGCTGAATTTTATTAGTGCTTAATAAAAGAGGGTGTGATGGAGCATCTGAAGGGGGGTAGTGGGGCTTGGGAATCACCGAGCCCCTCCATATCCCCAGGCATGTCCCCAGCTTTGGCTGCTGGCCATGACTCTATTCCCAGCCTGGGGGCAAGACTGGGAGTGGAGCTGTACCTTTCCATTAGTCTGGCTGCTTGCTCCCACCATAAGCTGATTGCAGCTCTGCTACTCCCCCAGCTCCCTGTTTCTGGCCCAAGGCCCAACCCCAGCTGCGGCCACAGCTTTAGCCCTCTTTATCCCTGTCACATCCTGTCCCCCAGCTGCAGCCCCTCTTATAGCCCCAACTCTGAGGGGGGAGGGTATGACCTTTTAAAGTTTGGGCACTGCTGGCCTAATGCATTACATACATATATACTATGTATTATCCACACCATATTAGTAATATGATACATAATTATATGCTGTTACCAGATTTGCCCAATACTCTGGGGTATGCTCATTTATCAGGGTTACCTTTATGGGACTGGGGGAAGGTTAACAATTCTGTCAGTGTGCTGTTGGTGCTTACTTGTGCTCTCATATGGAGCTGAATTCTCCCTGCTGCCAATTCCCCTTCCCACTGGAGCTCTCCTGCAGGAACTAGGTTCCTCAGGATGGGGTTCTTACTACCTTGGCAACACACACAGACACTCACACCCACTAATCAGAGCACTTCTGAGAGGACTGGGTACTCAGCACTCACAAGCTGACCCCCTCATATGTCCCTGGACTCAGCTGGCTGGGTTTCACAGCAATGCCACACTGCACCCTCATGTGCCTTTGGACTCCGTGGGCTGGATTAAACAGCACTTTAAGCTGCCATCCTCATAAGTCCCCAGGTTCAGCACCCCCTATCCCCACTTTCACACCACAATCATTCACTGGTAAACCACACAATGAGCAAACCCCACAGGATTTTGGGCACTACAGGGATCTTTTGCTTGGGTACAAGAAGCGTTGTTGCAGAGTGAATGGGGAAGCCAAAACAACACCCCTTCAGGAAGAGTGAGCAAAAGAGAAAGAAAGAGAGAGAAGCAACCAGCTTAACAATGAACGTTATTTATTTCTGAGTAGTGAATAGATATCAAAAAGTTACAATATTAAATCTAACAATTACAATATTAAATCTAAATTGAAACTGATTACAAATGTTAGGTAACCATATAACAGTGTACATAGGGCAGGGTCAGGAGGCTATGCTTAGAGAGATAGTTGATGAGAGAAAGAGAGAGAGAGACCTCACCACTCCATGGAGCTTCCACTGATCGGGGTTCCCAGGTGATGATGGTAGCCGGGGGGTCCAGAGGGCAGGAGACAAGCAGAACAGAGCCCCCAGCACGATCACACAGGAGATGAAGAAGTCTCAATGGAACTGATGCAGTTTAAGTCAGGTATCAGAACAGTTTTTCTTGGGGCAAGGATAGGAGTTTTTATAGGGATAGTTCAAAGAGAAAGAGGAGAGACAATAGAGACTGATCACCCCTGGTTATGGGTGATGTTCCTTGAACGAGCTCACAATGCAACTAGGCAGTTTCAGTATTTTGGATGTCAATAGGATCGTTACTAGAATTGGTCTGATAATGACTAATTTGGGTGTGAGCAGGCCTAGGTTCATTAGCATCTGGAGCAGGGATTTCCCATCAGGCAGTGCTTCTCTGCTTTCAGTGTCCTATAGTTCACTGCGGTTCTTGCCTTGGAAGAGCTGCTCTCCATTCGGTATGCTAATGAGATGTCCCTCTGTTCCATCTTTAATGCAAATGAGGCTGGGGTGTTTCCTTAATTGTTACCTTTGTCTGGGGTGTTACCTTTGTCTGAAGCAGTGTAGGTGTGTCTTCCCCAGCCTTTTCATTGCTTTGTCTGATTCCAGCAAAGGCTAAGAGGGGGAGGGGAGGATGGTTTTCCATGAATGTCACTCCCTGGCTCCCAAAAGCACAGGGCTGGTAGGTAACAATGCTAGCCAACATACTCTGCAATCTCTTCACTATTCATCCCCTTTTTTCAGATCCTATGAGTACGTTGAACAGTACCAGATTCCAGTATAGGTCCTTGGAGGACACTGCTATTTACCTCTTACATTGTAAAACCAGACTACTTGTACTTGCCCTTGATTCCCATTTTTACCCAATTACTGACCCATGAGAGTACCTTCTGTCTTATCCCAGGAGTGCTTAGTTTGCTTAGGGCCTTTGATGTAGTCCAAATCTATTATGAAAGTCCTAAATACATTATACCAACTAGATCACACCTGTCCACTTGTTTGTTGACAGCTTCATAGTATTCCAATAGATTGGTGAGGCAAGATTTCACTTTACTAAGAAAATGTACTAGTCCAATGAGAATATAGATAATTAACACTAATTTATAGCTTGGAATTGGTTCTCAAAGAGGTGTCATAAACCAAAATATGAAAACATACTCTAAATATTTTTGAATATGTCACTTGCTACAAAATCACAAGGTTTTTAAACCCATTTAATTTTTTGAGTCCATTATTTAATGTTTCTAATTATTTTTGTTTATTGCTGGCTCAGGACTTCCCTTTCTCCTTCTGAGGCTTTTCCCCATAGCGGCAGGGGGCAGTGCTTGGGAGCAGCAGGGACAGTGGATCCACGTGTGCCCCAGGAATGGGGCGGCAGGTAAGAACTTCACCCCAAGGCTCCCTCCCTGGCCCAGAAAAATCTTTAATATGTCATACCCTATTTCCCAGGGTTGGATTAAAGAGATTTCAAGTGTATTTTAATTCATTCTTGAGGCTTAAATAGGATTCAAGTCTTGCAGTGTTCTTGTGCTGGTCCTGTATACTGAGTGAATTTCACTTTGTGTGACAAAAGAGAGAGTAATAAATCCCTACTTTTTCTACATTGTTTCTAAATAGGCTGGTGGTTATAGTGATTAATGTTTTAATTTTTCAGCTTCTTTTTTCTCCTTAGCGTGCATATGAGGTATATTTGAAAAGCCCACACGCTGATGTGAACTGTTTTTTGATATGTAGACGTTCTTAGTTATTTTATATGTAGCTAAAGGACACAGGCCATTTAGGAAAAACACTAATGCTCTTGCGGAGGGGTGGCGCAACATATCTAGTTATTTTATTATGGGAAAACACTTAGTCCTGATCCACACTATAAACTTCTGTCAGTAAATCCATACTCCTGAGCAATGTTGTTTAGTCACCTAACCTTTGCTGCAGTCAGTGCTATCTCAGTGAGAGGGCTATCCCCTCTCAGGGAGGTGTAGTATCTATTCCAGTGGCAGAAGCTCACCTGTTGGCCTTAGTAGCATCTTTGGCACTGGTGCAGCTATGCTGCTGCAGTGCTGTAAGTGTAGATTATTTGTATAGACTGAGAGATGTCTCAGGTAGGGGCCCAAAGCCTATTGAAGTCTGTGCAACACACCTTTTAACTTCATAGGGCTTTGGATCAAGCCTTAAATATCCAACTATTGAATTTTCCTATTAAAGTTCTCAAGTTAGCAGTAAACATTTTTCCACTGTAGAAACAGACTGGTTTTGGATATGAATTATTTCCCCTGTTGTAAAAGCTGCAGTTCTAAATCTGTGTTCTTTATCTAGCAGTTTTGATCAATTTACGGTATTATTTAAAGTTTTCTTATACTGTAAAAATTACATTCTCAACTTTATATATATAGACTTTTCCCTAGTCCAAGAAAGTAATTTGAAGAGATCCCTTAATTATTTTTAGCTTCTTTAATTTTGATTGCACAGCCGTAAGCATAAGGAGAGGCAACTCTTTAGTTTAAATTGTGATCAGTCAATTATCATTTTCTCAGTTTTATCATAACTATATTTTTGGAGTGTTCCATGGTCTCCTCTCAGGTCTCATGCCTCTAGCTGCTGTTGTATTTGAAAGAATTAGACGGGATCTTTTTCAGGGGGTTAAGGCAAAACACCACATTTATTGATAATGTTACATCATTCTGGAATATGCATATAGTGTGTTATATCTACACAGACACACACTCACTCTTGTTGATGTTATAGCTACCAGTCTGTTGCTCACATTTACTCGCTGGCCAGGTGAGTTAAATGTGAGAGATGTAGGCGCTAGAATTCTATTCGTTCGCACCAATGCTCTGAGCTTGACAATATGAGACCCAAGGACTTTTCTCCCATTCAAGTCTATATATTTTGCTATGTCAGCTCTTGATTAGTCAGAATCCATTCTTGTAACATCTGTCTGTCTGGAAGTTGTTTTTATTCTCATCCAGTATCAGCATTGTCTGGGCTGCTTCTCACTCTGGCACTCCGAGTGCAGAAGATGGTGGCCTGCAAAGACCTTAAATACCTTGCCTCTATAGGCTCTCCTTAAAAAACTCCCCAGAGTCACAGATTTGCTGACTTTGGGGGGTAGCTGCCACCACCAAGTGAAACAAAGGAATTACCCCTTTCTTCTTCAACCCAGGAAGAATGACTTGGACTTCTTCCTGCGGGGTACCCCCAATCTCTTTTCACACAAGAGAGCTTGAAAAACAAAGAGAAAATAAAATACTGTGTCTAGTAGCTGACTGCTTGTCTTAGGCAGGCAGACACACATGCACACACAGAGCCTCTGTTCCTTTCCTTGACACAAGAATGAAATCATCTCCTTAAAGTGATTTTTATTAACTTAACAAAAAAGATATACTTGATAAAGCATACTTGATTGCTAGGTATTACAGAGCAACTAAGTAAAACAAATTAAAAAAGAGAGAAAATTTTTGGGAACAACTCTTAGGGTGTGTCTAAACTACATGGCTCCATCGATGGAGCCATGTAGATTAGGCTGATCGGCAAAGGGAATTGAAGCCGTGATTTAAATAATTACGGTTTCATTTAAATTTAAATGGCTGCCGCGCTGAGCCGACAAACAGCTGGTCAGCTTTTTGTCGGCTCAGCGCGCTAGTCTGGACGCTCCCGCGTCGACCTGAAAGCACTTTATCAACCTGCTCGTTATGCCTCGTAGGGTGAAATTAAGAAATTCTGTAAATATATTTATAAAATAATTTCAAGCTTTTTAGCTGTTATATAAATGTTTTTATTAAAACTACCGTTCTTTTTATTTGTGGAATTGTCTAAATCATATGGCAATAGGACATTACAGTTTTCTGTAACACTTGCTAATTATATATGATATGAAAATATGGCAAGCTTTTTCTGTTAAATAAAACTAATAACCAGTTCTTCGAGAGAGATGTCCCTGTGGGTGCTGCACATTACAGCAGTGTGCTGCCACCGAACCTTTTCTCCAGAGTCTTCAAAGCAATGTCTCTGGGACCACGCTTGTGTGTGCCTCAAGCCTTGTGTTCCTACTGCATAGGCATTGAGCACGAGTCCCCCTACTCCCAGTTCCTTCTCTACCGCCTCTGGTCACAGATGGAGCTTGGCAGTGTTCCCAACCTTGTTCTGCATTTTAGATAAGTAAACCAGTTTTTCCCCAGTTGTTACCTCTTGTTAGTTCGTGAGTTATTCCCTTCATTAGCTGTTACTTACCCCCCCCCCCCCAAAAAAAAGCTTCAAACAACTCTTTCCTCCAAGTTTTTTTTTTACCCATAGATCATTAGTCTTAGTAAGTGCCATGCCTGGCTCTTTGGGTTTTAAGTGCTGTTCTTCGTGTAAGGACCATATTCCTATGATGGATGGACATGCCAAATATGTTTGCTGCCTTGGCAAGGTTCACATCTCACAGAAATGCCCTCACCTGTGCTTATCCGAAAGCAAGAGCACAGCCTGACAGAGACTAATCCTTCAAACTGATTTTACTTGAAAAATAATTGGCCAACCTCAGATCTGGGCCTACAATCTGATAAGCGCCAGGCACAAAAGGACAAAAAAATCTTCAAAGAAATGCACCTTCTCATTGCCTCAAGAGGCCCCAGCATCTAAATGCTCATCTCTGGCGCGCATGGTGCCGAGAGCGAATCTGGTACCGTGTCTGAGTCCTTATGATATACCGAGCATGTCCAGCACCATGATGAAAATGGGAAATGCAAAACCCCATTCCAAGGCCACAGGCTTCAAGTTGCCTGCCTTGAGAGCTGCTGCAACTACTAGCACTGGTGTTTCATTGTCAGAATGGCAACTGCATCCAGTGCCGAGCACAGTTTCTGGCATCGCTTTAGGCACTAACCCACAGCACCTACCATTTTGCCTGGCTGCTCTGTGCCAAGACATCACACGGTACCACAGGTAGCATGGGGTGCAGCCAGCCATGGCACTGTCTATGCCAGCACAGCAGTATAAACAACATCGAGACCTCCTGTCTCCTCACCTTTCAGTTTACCCTTTCTCGGCACTGACATTTTTCTGGTTCCTTGGCACTGAGATTGGATGTATCACCAGGAAGATTTTCTAGTGACTCTGATGAGGTCACTAGATGGGATGTTCTCACCTAACAGCCCCCTGCTGATGGATTTTTTTGTGTACTCAGCCAGTACCCATTCCCCCCATGCTCCAGACACTGGGACATGCCACCTTGGTATAACAACCCATGGGTACCACCTCCCATGTCTTACCCACAATGGCAGTAACTAGAGTCCGTGGCAGCCTTGCTATAAATATCATCAATCACGCAAATGTGTTTAAGTGCCTCAACACTTTCCTCAACAGTCCCCAGCCCCTTAATAGCAATGTGCAATACAAGGGGACCAGTCTGACCCCTCACTGAACACATCACCTGACATTAACAAATCGTCTTCCCCAGATGAAGCCATGATGCCTCCTCCTCCCACTATGGCAGATAATTTTTCACATTTCCAATACCTTTTAAAATGTATATCTGTGGAACTCAGTATTCCTAAACAGGAAGTGTCAGAGAACCAGCATAAATTGATAGCTATTTTACTAATTCCTACAACTTCGAACATAGCTTGATGGATTAACTCAGCCATCATGGAACCAGCAAAAGCTATCTGGCAGACACCAGCAACTGCCACCCCAACATGCAAGCATGTTGACAGGAAATATTACGTTTTCCTCCCAAAGCATCAGAGTTTCTTTTTGCACATCCTGCACCTAATTCTTTGGTGGTGGAGGCACCATTTGATCTTGACAGCAAAAGGCTGGATCTCTTCGGATGGCAAGTCTGTATGTCGTCAACACAGCACTTCCAAGTTGCAAATTACACAGCACTACTAAGCAAATATAACCATTTGAATTATTCCTAACGAAATTATTTTATTTCAGACATTCCTGAGGGTGTAGGGCCATACAATCTCCAGGATGGCCTTATAGGCACGCTAGTTGTGACTGACACAGCATTTAGGCTCCCAACCCACATATCTAAAAGTTCAATTGGTCTTTGTGAGATTTTAATTGCAGAAGCAACAGGAAAACTACAGTTAAGGTTTTCCTAATACTCTTACTTTTCCTGTTTGCTCATTTGGTATTACATTGGACTCTTATTTTACAGTCTTGCATTCATGTGAGCTTAATAGGTCTGCAACCTTGCATTGTTTCCAAGGAGAAGAGAGGATGTTGCAAAAATTGTGACTCTGTGCCCCAAAACCATGACTGGCTTAAAAATGAGTTTAAAAATAATACATTTAATATTTTCATTTGCTTTCTTTTTTAAAATCTTCTGCATTTAGCTTTTTTCCATAACCATGAGAGCTAGAAACTTACTTTTTTAAAAAAATTCAA